TTTGCCGTCAATTCATCGTCGAGTGCAGACATTCTAGAACACCGTTGGTTTTGCGGAAATATGCTCAATGGAAGCGAGTCATATCAACTCGCTGGAATTGGATTCGCTGCACAGGTGTTCATTTTTTTGTTCTTTTCCCACGCGAGAATGGAATTCTGGGATCGCATGAAGAGGGCATTCATTTGAAGCAGAAAGTCATCTGTCAGGTCGAGGATTGATTCGCCCATGCAAGTGGGCCTCGAAGGAAGCACGGAAAATCCCTCATTTCGGTAGGAAAACTCGGGGTTCCATTAATCAAAGGCTGGGGGATAGTCGATATCTCGGGAAATCAAAACGAGCCCAGCTCCTTCGCAATAACCCCATTTGCGTCGCTCGTCCAAAAAAGGGGATTTTCGTGTCATTACGCGTCGACGCGGGCGCCGATCTGATAAAATGTTGTGATCGCGGACCTGATCGCGGATCGCGTTTAATTTTCCATGGGGCCTGGAAAGCCTGGAAGGTCGCGAGATGACGGAATTAGGGACGATCCGGGCAGAGCATGTCTGGAAAGCGGACATTAGCACCTGGTGCCGTGTTTTCCAACCGTGTCACGGCAGAGGACGAGGGCACCCTCCGCAATTGCCGCCCGTGTCGAGTGAAAATCCGACGCGCGGACCCACGATCGATTGCTTCCTTCATACGTTTTAATGAGCTCCCTGTGGATTAATTAGCGCGAGGATCCGGCAAGTCACCAATTAAAATAACCTATGTCCCAGCGGGGGCTCCCAGCGGAGCAATCGGTGTCCCCGCGACGTTTATTGTGTACGTTTCATGCCGGCCTCGGGCCACTTATTTTCTTCCTGCCGTCAGTTGTATCAATTTTCCCCCGTCCGTCTTTCATTCCGCGATATCTACGCGATCGTGGGTACCGTATCGGGGTTGCAACGCATCGGCCATTTTCTGTCAATGCCCAGGCCACGTAATGGGGGCCATGAGGATTTTTCACTGAGTCGGTTGATCCCCGGGTTGGGAGGGGCCAGGTCAGGTGACGCGTTTCCGGCCGGAGAGAGAAATCAGGACTGTAACGCCGCCGCGTGTTTGGTCGATCCGCCGTATCGCGGGCGACCATCCGCGGAAACCCACGGGTTCGGCGGTTCATGGCGTCGGCGACGAAATCCCCATTTGAGAATTCCCGGCCCTCAGTATCGGCGATCAGTAGACGGCTTCTGGGAGTCCATTTAGCGCCGTCTTATATCCCGGGCTTCGTATATATACCAGCGGAGATCCGATCGGGGCTGAATAGCAATCGACACTTGGTGTCCGGGCCTCCGTCGGCCGTTCAACTTCGAGCGACTAGTCGAATGCCCTTAGCGACGACGTCGCACTATTCTTTTCTTCGCTCTCGGTTTCGGCTCAACTCTTCGCATCAACCGGATGTTGAAGTCCTGGCTTCATCCTCAATATCCGGCTGAATCAGGCAACGATTTCCCGCCCATTCCTCATCGTAAAATGCGACTAATACGGGTTTCCACAGTGATCCTCCGCAAATATGTATTTTAACGCAAATAATATTGCTGCAGTGCCATGTACAATACTGTACAATGATTGGAGGTAGATTGGGACCCAAGAAAATTCCTTTTATGGAAAGAAACGAATAGTGTGTTCCACGGAAGATTTCGCTTTATAGCAGTTTATTAAAATGTACATGAGTTGCTTTTTAATTTATCAAAGATATTCTCGGACAAAAAGAAATGGAATACCGTGCATGGAGACCAAAGATTAATTTTTGGAGAAGAGAATTTCGTTGCAGAGGAAATCTCATCCTAGAAAATGTATTTTGTATATCAACATCAGGGGCCATAAAAATGTTTGCGTTTGTGAATCTTTCAATTCAATCCAAAATGTAGTGGGAGAACACTTTGGGATGTAAGATCCATCTCCCGCATACCTGGGCGATTAATTAAATGCATTTCAATTTTTTCCAAGGCGGAAGTATTTCTAAAAGTCATCGAAATATCAACACCGGAACAACTGCGTCGTTTCTGAGGAAATTCGCGAAATGATAACGGCCCCATCTACTGCTCATCATTCAAAGTGAATCTTTCATCAGGTGAATTCGTTGGTAAATTCTGGCGTCCTAAGTACTGTACTACACTTACACAAGAAGGATGATTTAAGGACGACAGGTAGGTTTGAGCTATCCTCGGACGAGAGAGAGAGAGAGAGATAGACAGCGAAGTTCTGGAGAAAGAACGAAGGGAAGCGAAAACGACGCATTCTGTCAACGCGAAAATTGCAGGAGCAAGTGTAGCGCGAACGCTGCATAATTCGAGGGTGCCCCGGAAAACGAATGCGGTCATCATCCCATCAGAATCGCTCGCTTCAAGATGCATATTTGCGCGGAGGACGGATGCAGCGGGGACCAACATGCACGCCGACGTGCGAAACACGATCATCAATCTCCGGGTCTGAAAGTCAAATAGAGCCACCCGGTCGTACTTACGAGCCTGGGTTGTTTTGATAACACGCCTTGATACGGCGGCGGAATCGGAAAGAAATCTTTACTCATGCTGACGCAGTATCCTTTTCCCCCTACCGATTGCCACGACAGGAAACACTGTTCTCCCGCGATTCGGAACTGCTCGCGAGCGCGTCGAAAATCCTATTCCGGCCGGATGACGAATGATTCATACTCACCTCTTCGTGTGCGTTCCGATCGCTCGACTACGAAATTGTCCCGCTACTAAAATACACATAAATCGACTATCCAAAGCACTCGAACTTATTCTCTTATTCTCTCCTCGGAAATCCTGTTTTCAGAAACACATTAAAGCAGGTTGTTGTTCAGACGTTCCCGAAGTAAGCTGCGCGAAGCATTATACGAGTTATTTCGCGGCCTTTGCAGTCCGATAAAAAAGCGCAAGTGGAAAGATGCACAAATTCGCTGGGAAAACATGCCCGCAACTTGAAGAAAAGACAAAAAGTTGCATTCCTATTGGCCATTAACTTTTCAGTCTTGTAACACACAGTTAAGATCAAAGGGATTCCGGAATATAATGTATATTACATGCTTCCATGAAGTACTCCGCCATTGTACATAATTTATCTAACGGTGGGCTCCTCGGAATAGGCTATATTCAAAGAGGTCTCCGCTATTTAGAAATTCGAGGAATTTTCAGATATTTTTCAGGATACGCTTCACGTTTCCTCTGCTTTTTGATCACTTCTGCTACAACTTCTGGTTAAGCTGTCGTATCAGTCGTTTGAAATCATTCGATATCCGTGGAAACTCTGGTATATCACGAACAATTTTCTCATGTACTATTATTTGGAAGTCCTGTTCTACCGCGGTAGGAAGCACCACCGGTGTTCATCGCCCGATTTTTTGTATACTCAGATTTGATGCAAGTGATTGAGAAGAGTGCAATTGATTCATGCTTTGAGTAGCGGGCTTGCTGATTACTCTGCGAGGCCGACATCTGGGCTCGAGTATCCAATCCTTCACACGCTTTCATCCACCGAAGGCTTCTTCATCAAGTCCCGACTTCCCCAACTGAATCCATGTAGTTGTATCAAAGTCTAGCTGCGCGCTGGAAAATGTAATTTCCTGAGTGAAATGCGCTCGAATGGTTTAAGAGGAGAGAAAACATCGCGCATGAAAGAAGCCTGAGCTTGAGTAGCGTTAGCAGAAAAACCCCTTTCAAAGCAACAGACTCAACGAATCGCGCCAAGCTTGCCTCCATTCTACGCATTTGTAGGATACTAGGGTGTCGCTAACTTGGTGTCGAAGTGACGAAGGGAGAAAACGAGTGTTTTTTTTCTTCTTCTTCATGTGCATCCATGAAAGGGAGAGGAGCCATGTTGCAGGTGCAGGATGGGAGTCAGCCTACGTGGGGTTCACGCAGCATGGGGAGAAATTCACCGTCGATTGTAGTGTATTCAAGCCACTGCACTTTCAGGCTCATCTAGAATTTTTTAACTCTCTAGTTCATGGAAAAACCCCACTGTCCGTGTTTCTTCCCTGGTAAACGAGAGATAAGAAAGATGTTCGTACCTTTTTCGTTCCTGTACTTTACGGTCAAGGGAAAATGCTATTTGTTGAAGCAAATCAAGGAAGATTCGAGGAATGTATCAAGGAAGGAAATGATCCGAAATACTGCCGTGCTATTTGATCACAATAAGCAGATATGGAGTTTATTGTGGATTTAGGAGATGAAGAAGTAGAAATAATATATTTCTAGGGCGCGAGCGTTGCATTACTAAGCAGAATTGTTCGTGAAGGAACCGCGGTTTCAGGCTAATAATGATTTTATTCGAACTTAAATATCAAGAGTTACTTAACGCCATAAAAATCAAAATTACGGCCTGAACTGAATAAGTCCCTGTCAAGAACATGCTGTAAGGAAGCTCTTACGGTTTTCAAGCAATTGGTTGTCGGCGTTTCTCATATAGTCCACTTTTTGAAAATGTTGGAAGGTCGGATCGTCGTTGGATACTTTCGAATTTTGTTGAAATTACAGCGTAATTGGTGAACCGATTTCATTAATATCCAATAAGTGCGTTAATTCGGTGTTTTGTGGCTCTGCTCGAATAAGCCCGGCGCGTGAAACGTTATTATTAGCCTGATCAATGAAGGAAGGCAGACCCTCCGGAAAAGCCGTCTCGCGTTACCATTGATTTCTATGTGTGTGGCCCTCTCTGATGCAATCGATAGAGAACAGCAGCAAGATTCGTATCAAGTCCCCAGAAAGAAGGAACATGGCGCGGATTCCGGCGAATCGTGGGTTTCGGGAAACTTTGGCAAAGGCCCGTGTTTGGTGCTCTCGTTGTCGTTGCTGATGGGGGCCCGTGCCTCGCCCTGGCCCCCAGTTTTTTATGGCATTTCATTTCCCGTGAGCGTGCTGCTGCTTGGCGCTGTCGTCGGACGACGGGTTCCCCCCACGGGGTGTAGTGGCTGGCTGACCTGCTGTCCGAGCATCCCTGGCGTCTAATGCTCTGTAATTTTCGAGTGCGAAACCCGTATGACTGCGTCTTATCGATGCTATCGCAATCACGGCCCCGGGCTTCCAATTAACGAGGGATTTCGCGTCGAGACCCTGGCCGCGGACCCGTCGTGCGGTGGTCAAGTACTGCGGGCTCCTCTTCGCCAGTACCGATTCTTCGGGGATGACAGTTGATCGAATGCGAGCCCGGAATTTTTAAACTGCGCATCAATTAACGTAAAGGTAATGATAATGTATCTGTATCAAATGCCGTACTTCTTCAATTCAGTACAATATTTACTCTAATATTAATCGCACTTTTACCACAAAATTCGGCTTGAAAAACACGGTGAGCCGTATAATTATTGGTGTCTGTCATCCGATGGCGTTTTAGATTCCTGGGCATTTTTTATGAAACCGTAAAATACTATTGCATTTTATCCTCGAATCGATTTCCTGCGACCTTCAACTGCAAGAATCCAGCACCATGCGAGATTCAGGCTAGGATTTATCTATCTTTTGGTGACATCAGCAGGTCTGTTTATACAGGATTTGCTGCATTTGGTGCAGAATACGAGTACAGTATACCCTTTTTTATCGGGAAGAACAACCACCGGAAAGTCAAGAAAAGAATTGGATTATTCTTCATGACGAATCAATCAATCGAGTACGCGAGAAGGCTTTCATTTATCTGCGAGTATCTTGAAGGCTAAAGGCAATCTTTTGGATGTGGATACAATCAGTTGCAATTAAGTTAATGTGCAATTGTTCGTGAAGCTCCTTTTATCTGTTTATAGTATATTTTTATGGGAGATATTCAAACGCACGATATCATCCTACTATGCATGGATATTGCATGCATTCCGAACGAGAAAAAATGCAGGACAAAATGTTTATCAAGTACTGAGCAAGGATATGCGGTATTCATGTTAGTTTTTTTTAGCAGAAAAACTTTGTTGCATGGTTTCTGAAACAAAGTATTGTACAGTACTTTTCTGTACCTATGGTCCGAGTAAGCCACCCAATCGATTGTGGGCTGAGCGCTCGGGGAAAGTTTGATCAAACAAGGGGGAACTGAAGAAATTTGCGACATAGATATGCCGGGGTTTCGTATTGCTTGAATGCTAAAAACTAAATGTACTGTAATCATACGAGTATATGCTGTTGCTTCGGACTAAGCTGACAGCCCGGTTCTTGCGTTGCGAAAGGATTGAAGCGGACGAGTAATGAGCACTATTTTTGTTTATGCAGGTGAGCCGACCGCTGACGATGAAGAAGGACGGGATCCAGACGCGGAACAGAAAGCTGTCGTCCAAGTCGAAGAAGAAGAAGAACGGGTTCGGCCTGGGCGACGTGATCAAGCCGCTGGCGTCCGCGGCGGCGTTCTCGGGCTTCGCGGCCGTGTCCGGCGCCGCCGGCGGCAACGCGCTGTCCCAGGGCAACGCAAACATGTACAGCATGTACAACATGTACAACTCCGTAGCCGGGATGCACCACCCCACGCACGCGCACCCGCACCCGGCCCACCACTCGAGCCAGGTCATGAACGCCGGCGGCTTCATGTCCGGTCCGGGCAACCACATGGCCATGCCAGGTCACCACCACTCGCACCAGGTCGCCGTTGCTGCAAGCATGGGAATGGCAGGCCTGTCCTCCGCGTCCTCGCCGCTGTCCTTTGGCTCCTCGCCTGCTGGCCTCGGTCTCGCCTCCACCAACAACATGGTAAGTCTTGCTTCCTCTCAAATAACGAAGAAAAAAGTCCATGCGATTCCGCGAGTAGCCACGAAACGGCCATGTACTCCGAAAACAGTCCTTAACATGATAGACTAAGATTTCATTTCCCAAAAGATCCGCGATTCAAATATGAAAATAAATTTTCAACTCGTACGGAAGAACATGGTACTGCACATTTCAATCGTGAGACTGAACGAGGAAACATTCTCATATGACCAATTGTCTTGCCGCACGTTTCTTCTTTATCTCGATCTTGTACCGATGAAAATTTAGGTCCTTCAGCGAGCGTTTAGATAAATTTTTTATGCTCACATCCGAAGGTTTAAGTCGAATCCAAATATTCAAAGCTAACGCATGATCAACCTGCAAAAATTCCCGTTGATGATATTTTATAACGATATTTCCCCAATCTTCAACCACGCCGAGATCATCGCTATCAGGCTCTGCAAGACCTTCATTTTTGTTAATTCATCGCTATTCAGTACAGCAATAAACTCATTTCTGTCGACATTTTCAAAGCAGCAAGCTCGTTATTTGAGTGAGACATTCGTCTTTTGTACTGCCCGAAACTCACAGCTTGGAAAATTATTCTTTGAGTGATTGCGCACTCTTCCAAGGGAAACTATTCGCTTGTGAGTTAGTGCCACTGAACTAATGGAAAACTTTTCATATACAGTACTGTATATCCGTTTGCATAACATCGATAAATAAGGTATTGTGGAGTATGTATCATCCTGCCTCCGAGGTTCACACGTGGCGCCAGAGCACGACCGAATAATGTATTTGTGAACCAGGAGTAATAAGGTCTCGTTCATCTGCTGGAGCCAGTACACCGCTTCTGACGGTAATTGCCGGTCAACCACCGAGGCATCTGGGCGATCTATGTGCATATAGAAAAGCCCCGAATGCATGAGGTAAAAAACAAAATCGGTGATGCGACAAATGGGATGAAAAGTCGAGAAGAGTTGGAACCTCTTCGTCTTGTTGGGCGACGACACTTATCGCCGGAATCGGGAAGTCTCGGTTCCCCATTCCGACTGCCCAACCGTGAGAAACGAGTGCCTGGATCGGGTTTGAAAAGGAACCGGTTTCTACTCCCAACTAATTACCTTGAATCCTAATCAACATTAAACTATCCTAGAAGGTGAGGCTAATTCAACCCTTCTCCGATGTGAGGCTATAACGCTGGATTTAAACCTCATGGGTAGGCTTTCGTTTCTTCACCAGAACGGCATTGGGCATTAACCCTAGAAACCTTCGCTTTATTCGTCCAAACTTTTTGGTTTGACCTAGCAGGACCAAACTCGACTCAAAGTACAATATTCTCTTTCATTCCATCGCGTGAACGATCATAGTAACGTGTTATTACTGAACATGTCCTAAAACAACTACGAAGATGCGTAATAAAATGAAAGCTCGTCGCTGGGTTCACATCAATGTTCGGGCTCGATTTGGTTGCCCAGTACCTGGAGTTACGATTCTGCTACGAACATTCGCGTTTCCCAAACCGTGAACTCCTTATCTGAAATTATAGGCGAAAATTGATGTTATCTGAAAGCACGGATATTGAACTACGGTACTTTAAAGAATGAGAGAAGAGTTATAGGTGGAAAACGTCCCATCGTTGATCGAAATTTTCGGAATTTCCGCTGTGGAAACGTTTCGGATTTCCTGCTTGTACTAAAAATTGCATGACTCCGAACAATTATGAAAGGTGCCAAAACTTTTGTAGCAATACGAGTACTGTAATTTGAATAGCCTGCCGATTTAAGAATAAACGCAGCTGAGCTCATGGAACGTTTGCTTCTTTAAATTCACCATCGAAGTCCAACTGTAGATTAAATGCTTCTCTTCGAGACTAGAATTTTCCCGAGTACCGAAAGTACTTCTATTTCCGAATTTATGGATCAAGCTGCGCGTGAGCGTCACACACGAGTTCAACGTTGGGTGCCAGAATTTTACCAAAGATGCTTGAAGAAAGAATTGAAAGCGTGACATCCATAAATACGATTTGCAATATCTAATTCATCTTTACTATATTTCAAATTGAAAAGCTGTAAAAACTAAAGTCCAGAAAGCCAAGGGTGAAATAAATTGCATGATCTTTATTTTGAGTTCTAGTTAATCTCTTTGAAACTCTCGGTTCTTTCCATGTCTCACTCGGGAAACGGTTGTTATTCGATAGGATTTATACAGTACTGTAATCGCATACAAGACATACCAGATTTTTAAAACTATGGAGCGCATCTCATCCAGAGGAAATCTTGTCCAGTTTTTATTTATTTTTTTTATGCGTGTCTTACAGAGTGTTTCATGGTTCATGAGTACCGTAAATATGGGTCTCTCGATCTGATGAAAGCCGAATCTGCATAACCTGATACTTGGAGTGATTGTTCGTCGTGGTTGACTGCTCAGTAACTTCCATGAACATAAACACTTTTTTTTATACTGAGCCGGTAATCATTTTGCGGAGGTTTTGCGTTTAATTTTTGGTCACTGGTAGGCATTTAATGAAGGTGAGAGTGGATGTTTGTGGATTTATCCGAGGAAGCACTTAAGTGAGGTGGGAATCGATCCATCGGTTCGCGCAGTAAAAGTCATTCGGAGGTTCCAACGTTGAACATGTGTCAGACAATCATAAAGTGTGTAAAGTCAACTCATGAGTGGGCCTCCCTCGAGGAGGTATTTTCTCGAGGCGCGAATGGAACGACGGCTCGTAACAAGGGAAATACCAGCGGCTTTAATTACATCGTTTCCATTCAAGCGCCGGACGAACGATCCTGCTTCGAAATTAAGGTTTCTCATTCGGCGAGGTTTAACGAGCTATTAATTGCACACGGGGCCGAGCAGCTTGCGGTGATGAAGATGTTTGCCGTGGAGCCCGGGCGCGACGTGGGCTTCGCGAAGACGCAACTGAGTGAAGCAGGAGCATGATTGATGCCGAACCCGGGACGAGGATCGATTGCCGACGATGGGCCCTGGGAGTCTTGTTGAAGCAAACGTCCGAAAACGAGAGTGAAGCCGCGGGTTCGCGAGCTTTTGCGGTGCCCGACTCAGGCACCGAAAATGCCCGAATGCTCTATTTCTCATTACCCGGGCGCGAAGGAGGCCGGATCACAGGGCAGAAAACGGCAGACAAGCGAAATTACACGTTGCGTCAAGTTATTTGCCCGTCCTCGGGTGCCTGGCCAGCGCAAGGATGAGTAATGGTGGCTGGCCGGCATTCGTGACGAGTCCTGGCGTCGATCGCTGGCTGCAAATGTCGTGAAAGCTCGTGATCATCAACGATCCCCGCACCACTTCTATCAATAATTCCTCTCTCGGAATTCCTGGAGGCAGCCCCGCCAATAATCGGCTCGTCGCCACGAAATTCCACGAGATATCGATTTACTTGAACAACAGCAGGAATAAAAACCAAGTGAAAGGAGTGTAGTTGATGACAACCCGGAAAATACTACTGCAAGTAAAATCAGACAGTTCTGCATCTCCCTGGGCTTATTTCATTTGCATCGCATCGTAGGTTTCATCGCAAAGAGATCTGTGGCGTAGGCGCGATGGATCAAGTGAGTGGGAAGCCCAACCTACCATCGGAACAGCTGAACGCCACCCAACTGAGCGTCAGGTCAATGTCAGCGTTAATTGATTGAAAAGCATTTTGCATCAACTTTCCTTGAAGAATAACTGTAAAAACGGGCTAACATTTTTTATGCTCTTCAATTCTGAAAATCCTTGAGATATCTAGAGTTGCGCATCATTTATGAACACTTCGCGTTCGGACAAAACATCGTAAACGTAACGATGTACTGCTTCGCTGTTGCTGTCACAAAAAATATCCGGAATTGTATATGAGCTATGTCAGTGACATCAGGCAATCTACAGACCTCGCAGGAAACAATATTTCTGCGAAGGGAACTCACGCTAAAATATATGAAGAGGTGCGCTCAGTTGTGAAGCGCTCCATTTTTCCTGTCGCTCAGTTTGGGTGGCACTCAGTTGGGCGCCAAACAAAGCTTTTTTACAACGCTTCTAGAAAAATAAGAGTAATACTCGTACAGTGAATGAGCCCAAGCGATTTTTGCACACATCTGAAATGAAATCCAAGCCCAAAATCGTCCGGATACCTTCCTAAAAATGTGATGTTGAACTCTTTCCAACTTGTGCAATATGATCTCAATCATATTGCATGGATTTTATGGTTTTTTTTGTGTGAATATAAAATCCCCCACGAGGTTCGCCATCTTTTAGAAAAATTAGAACATACGGCAAGACCTGTGTGATATCTTGAGGAAACAAATTATTGCAAATTACGAGCTGTACTGGCATTACTTCAGTTTGGGAGGAACACGCATGAAACAACTGCAATACCTGATCAGCTCTCAGGGAGATTTTTTGATAGTAAGGTCCCAGTTCTGTACTCGCTTTCAGCAACTCTCTGGACCTCCATTTAAACCAAAAAGAAGGCCTCGAAATTTACTTTGACCTGAAGAGCCTAAAATAATAACTACAAAAGATAGACACGGGGACTAGAAAGTAGAAGGGGTCAATGCGGAGGTATCTTCCATCTTCGTCTCGGTTCTTCATCGGCGTGAGTTACTCATTAGGTCGTGATCTTGGCGTCTCAATGGGACCCGAAACTCATCGCAAGCTCGTAGAGCGGTTCTCAAACGATGTCGGAATAACGATGCGACCAACGGAGAATTTCTTACACTCGCATATTAATTCCTATTTTAAACCACATACAATTTAAAAGGGCAATTCATGCAAAACTATTTTATGCTTCGCGGAGTTTTAAACACAAACGCATAATTTATGTGATCGGAATGCGTGACAAGGTGGCGCAGGAGAAGAAATCCGGGCGTTATAAAGACAATAACGAGTGTTCGGCGCCTTGAAGAGGAAAAGGAAATCTTAAGGTTTCAATGGGAATAGAAGGATGACTGGCGCCGAATGGAAGGAAATTAGTGGCATCCTGAGAACAATGATTATTGTCCATCATAATGAAGTAGATAAGGGGGACATTTATGCCATTCATGGGAAAACAATTCTTTTCTCCGTATTGTCTGCTAAATTATGAATGAATCACGCTGAGATTTGCCCTAAAAAGGCAAAATTCCACGATTGCCTTTATCAAGGCGACTTAAGAAAAAGAAGAACCCTACTACAGTCCCGCAAAAGAGACGAGGCAGGTGACACAATGTGGGAAGTTCGGTGTGTGTAAAGTATTAAAATGACAGTATTGTAACTTCCACGTCATTTTAGCTGCCTGCAGATATACTCATTTTTACTTCAGCTCCTTGTGATCAAGTAATTATCCGGGTTAATGCACTCCTGTTTTTTTTTTTTAACTAATTCGACTCATGTCTAGATATTCTAGGAATTAGTGTTGAAAAATGTGGAATGAAATTCCATCCATTTGATCATCCGTGATGTCTGATTTTCGAGGCAAGGCTTCCCATTTATCCAACCAGACCAGAGGTCCATTGTATTTCTGCTAGAATCCCGGCCACAACGAATCTCGATATACAGTAATGATTTCTAACGTAGGACAAAACTTGACTAGGTCCTCACGGTATAGCCTCATTTTGTTGTGTCAAAATTACGAAAACGTAAAGCGAATTTTTTTTATCAGGTCTCAGCGAATCATGCCAGTTATTTAAGGTGACGTTAAGTTAAAAGAGTTAATCGCGCGTGTAGTGGGACATTAAATACGACGACAAGTCTAGAAGCTGTAGGAAACTCTACGTGCAGCATCGTACATATGTCATCAACCTTACGTGATCGACTTGAGAATGATAACGAGCATAGGATTCAACCATTTTTTTTGGTTGGGCTGGTAAAGCGGTTCAAGTTCCGCTGACGGTTTTATTGGGCTTTGTCGGGAGTTCAAAATGGCTGCGACGAATTACTGAATCCGGAAGGTAGGCAGCCGGGACGGAATGAAGCAATTCCGAGCCCGAAACTTCGTCATGGCTGCTGATCGCGTCCGGTCAGGCATCAATCATGTCTTCTAATAGCGGTGCCTCAGTTCTCACAATATTTCATTTCTCGCGGCGGCTCGCAGAAGGAGAAAAACGGGACGAAAGAACAATTATCGCGAGTTGGAAATGCCCAACAAAAGCCAACCCCCGGAATCCAATTCTCTCAAAATTAGCTCCGCGTTCGTTACAAGGAGAAGGATGCATTTACGCGCTTTGTAATTGGTCGGAGCGTCATGAGAAAGACATTAAACCTCGATACGCATCGCGGAGAGCGCCGCCGTTTCAATGGAAAAACTCGTCTCGCTGACACTTATCAGATCCCTGAATGTTTTCTCGAATACCAGCGCTGACTTTTTTCGCGCGGGGAATTGCGGATTGTTAACCGAGGCGAAGCGGATCGTAAATCGCGTGCTGCGACCGGACGGATTAATTGAGAGTCCCTTTCGGGTCTTTGCTTTTAATTGCAGGCCTGGAGGACGGACTACACGTGATGTCGACGACGCGTCTGGCCGACGACGAGCGTCAGCGACGTTCCGCGACTTCCGGCAGGGGTCGCTGTCGGCCATCAACTTCGCCAGCTGCCGAGCTCTGAGGTGTAGACGAGGATCCGTGTGGAGTGATGCGGAAAAAGGGGTTCCGCCGAGCGATGGTCTGCGGAACCCGCGGCTCCCGGCGCTGCCTGTGAAAGTGAAGAAGAAGAAAAAAAGGAAGAAAAGGAAAGAGATGTCAATGTCGATGTCGTCCAGCTTCGGGACCGAACAAGGGGTATCGCTGCCGCAGCCCGATGTTTTGCGAGCGTGTGAAGGATTCGCGTGGAACGTCGGCTTTTATCATGTTCTCATTTACGCGCCGGGCCGCGATTCGCTTCGGTCAATACTTCTCGCGACTACGGATCAAGAAGCGCATTACTTTCTCGAGAACGTTATAGGATGTGATTTTTGTGAAGGAAACCATCGTTGATGCGGAAGGAGATTTTGTGTAGCTCAGGTTGATAGTGTGCTTTTGTTGAAGGACGTCGCCCTCGGAATGTTTTTGAGTCTGTGATGACAAGATTTAATCCGCTTTGCCCACCTACGACTCAAGCTTGAAAGTGCGCTTTCGATCCACTGAATTTGGTACAATGAGCCTATGCTATTTCGGGGGTCTTGCGGAGGATTTTTGTACTCGTCGAGGGCGAGGGGGTTTTATGGGGGTGTTCTCGTCAGGGTTTTTTTTTTTGTGTTTTCCTTTTCTCCCGTCGGTGCATTATGCACCAGGGACCCGGGCCCGCATCGGAGTCACTTTGAATTTCATGCGGTCAGGACTGCTGACGTTGGTGTGGGAAGCAGGTTTATCACTCGCGTCGCGGAGGCAAGGTTGACAGGTGCATAAAAGCGCGGATGAATAAAAGATTCAACGGCCGGCGAACGTGAGGGCGGATGAGCCTGCCGTTCCGACTCCGCCCGCGGAACCGACTTTAATGGAGCGCCAAAAAATTCGAGCGCGGACGATTTTCGCGCGACGCGATCGCCGATCTCTGCTGTTTGACGCGTGTCCGGACTCGGAGCGATCCCGAATTATCGCGCTCGCTTTTCTTTCGCGACATAAAATAGGTATGTTTACTCTCAGTGGTCGATTCCCTCGACGAATAAAAAGTATCAGGAAACTCTGTACTCAGTCCGAACTTCCGAGGAATAAAATGTGTGCATTCTGTGGCATAATCGTCGCTGTTGAGAAATTCAAGGTTAACTCTTTTTTATTCCCAGAAGACGTCCTCGTTGTTCTTTACGTGCAGAACTCTTTTTTATAATTAATTTCTTTGAGGAGCCCTTAACTCTGATCTTCGCTGTTCGGTTCGTCTCCGTAATTAGAGCGATCCTGAATCATCGGGCTTTCTTTTCTCCCGAAAGTTTATGGTTGACGTAAAAAAAAGCGATGTTCCCCACTAATTATTATATTACAGAAACGGATAAATAAAGAGTTAAATGATCAAAATCGATGAGAAATCGCAGGAATAAAAACCTCTGCAAAATACGGCGTAACCATCCTAGTTCGAGGAGGTATGAATTCATAATCGGTTGGAGTTTTGTAGGAAGTGAACCATTCCGTGGACTTAAGATTTCCTTTTCGCGTTTTAAAGGTTTGTACAAGGGGGTTGCTTTGTTTATGGTTCCTTCAGTACACATGTTTTCAATTTTTTTTCAATTAATGTTCTGTCTACCTATGGTACCTTTGGTTGGGTGGCAATCGCTGATCTCTGCTGTCCAACACGTGTAAAGAATCACCTTGAAATACCACGCGTGCTTTTCTCTCAAAAGAATAAAATATGTTGTCACTCTCAGAGATCAATTTCCTAGACAGATTTAAAACGCGAGGAAATCACCAGATTCGGTGCGCAGTGTGGACGTCCCAGGAACTCAAATTAGCTCATTCTGAGGCATAATCATCGTTGCTTCAATAGCTATAAATTGCAAGCACTGTACTCTATTTATATTGTGATGACAGTCCATAAAAGCCGACTGTGCACTTCAGAGCTCCTCGAGCAATTCTAAGGTGTGTTTCAGATTGAAAAACTGTACCGTTTTGCTTGTGAACCCTGTAGTAAAGATGTGATAACGAATTGTTGGCTTATGAGGATCAATTTGGAATAGATTTCTAAGATGGAGCTCTCTTGAGAAAAAATATTCTTCAGCGACCTGTATCCTAATATAAATGGACACAACAGCTCTCCTGTTTCTCCTCATGAGCATTCATTACACAGGCGTGTGTCCTTCTATATATATATTTTTTTTTTCATCCTGTCATTTATCTATTTTTGTAGGGATATTTCTTGGATCTCCTGAAGCAGCCGCAGCGCACTGGCTAAGAATTATTTCTTGATGGCATTGTTTAACGTGGACAAAAAATTCTCTCCGGTTGCTCTGTTTCATGTCGATAATTTATCTTTTTACTCAATGAAACACGGAGGGCTTGAATGGGAAGAGAATTCGACCATGATGATAAGGAATTCGAAGGTGTTTTTTTTTATCTTCTCTCGTTTGGCTCGTAATGCGTTTAGGTAAAACAAAAGATGCACCGGTCACAGTAACGGCGCTGAAAAGAAACAAGACGTAAAATTCAAGTCCCTTGTTACCAGCGGCTTCGCCGACTCTGGCAGAATTGTTGCAGAACAATCCATCAAGGGTCGATAATTCACTTGATGGATGACTGATGACGCTGACCCGTCTCCGTCGCTCGCCTTGTTTGCCCTCACACTGACCGCCGATTTGCCTTCGTCCCTTTTCATTCTCGCCACGCACGTCCGGATCGCTTTAATTGAGTTGTTCGTGGTATTTCTTGAACAATGCAGCGCAAGTGAGTTCAAATCAGCCGCTTCCCAGGCAGAATAAGCGATAAAAATCAGCCAAAGCACTCAACTTCTTAGAAGAATAAAACCGAAAATTCATCATCGGGCATTAACAGAAGCGTTTGTTCTTTCATTTTGGAGGAGGGGTTTCAATCACGCCGATACCGTTAGTATTGCACGGGGGCCTCGTAAGTGTTTTGGAAATATCCAAGAGTCAGAATGTTTCGTCTTCTGTAGCAAAACATAAAAAGATAACTCTTTGGAGATCGGCGTGTCAAGTAAATCCAGTGCATTATTTGCAGATACAGTAGTTGAATCCCCTTCGAACTGATAATGACGTTTATTTATTTATGTTTATAAAATGAAGGAGGAAAGAAAGGGTTTCTCATTAGCTACTGCAGTATTTTTTTTTAAGTATTTGCTTGCAAGATTGCGAGAATTCAGCAGCCGAATTTTCTTGCTTAGGGAGAAAGCCCAGAAAAGTGTTTCCTCGTGTCTCCCGAGAAAGGGTTGGGAATCCAGATGATTAATTCAACGTCACATTCTGAACTCTCTCCGGGTAGGTGGAAAAAAGCGCCCGGAATGCCGGGGAAGCGACTAATTTGCAGTCACCTGTGTGAGTCTGCGATCACGACAGCACAAACACAAGCATGCAACCCTTCCCTCGCGCTTTTCTTTCCCATTCCTTCTTCTCTCCACTACGTAACTACGCATAATTCCCTTGCCCGGGTACGCCTTCATTAACGCGCTCCGCGAGCCGCACGCCACGGCAATTAGACGAGTCCGCGATATCCCCTTGCCGCAACAATGCTGCGATCCGGTACGTGCTCGTCTCTCGGCGCCCCGGTACCGAGATTTTAATTCAGTCCGCGATCCCTATCGTGGCTGCCGCGTGAGAGAATCAGTCCATACTTTCGCGGATTGCGCCTTAATGAGGAGCTCTGGTTTGTCTCGCTCCAGAGTGCAGTGGTACTGGCCCGAACTGAATCCGCAGAGTCTAACCAGATCCAATGGGAGTCCATTATTCTAAACAGGTCAGAAAAACGTGGAGTCTCCATCCTCAATTCTGCCATTTGACGGCACTCTTGAGTAACCTGGCTAGAAAGTAAGATCTTTACTTCTAAAAGTCCCGTTGGTAACTTCATGTAGTGATACTGGCCCAAACTGAATCCGCAGAGTCTAACCAGATCCAATGGGAGTCCATCACCAGATAGAACAGCAAACTTACAGGGCCTCCATTCTCTATTCTGCTATTCGACGCCACTCTTGAGTAACCTGGCTAGTAAGTAATATCTTTATTTCTGGAACTCGTATTGGTAATTTCATGTAGTGGTACTAGTCCGAACCGAATCTGCAGTGCCGAACCGGATCCAATAGGAGTCCATTTCTGGGCTAAACAGCGAAACGCCATCCCCTAATCTACCATTTGAATCCGCATCAGAGTAATTTAGCTGCAAACTAATCATGATTTGGTACTTCTTCTTGAGCTTTTCATACATTCAAATACAGTATCTGCTAAAAATTGATTGGCAAAAATCGAACGCAATGCAAAATTATGAGTCCATTCTAGCCAAAACTGATGGAGCCCATACTCTATTTTTTCCAGTTGACACTGTGCTTTTGTGCAATATGTCTGCGTAATGATCCTCATTTTTAGAAGCCATTTAATATTAATAAAAAAGTATAATCGCTGTTTTCGATCTTTCCTTCAAATTTATAAAAATTTAACAGCCAAAATCAAAATCAAACCTGCAAAGCTGAATCCGTTCCAATGTTATTCCTCTTTTCCGCCATTTGCAAAAAATCAGTGATGAATGCAGGACGCTGCGGAGACTCATCCTCAAGCCTCAGATTCTGATTGAATACCTTTGAGTTCAAAATCAGTGTTCTCTCAAGCCCGTTCTTCATTTTATTTTCTATAAAATGAAACTGGCCAAAACTGGACCCGCAACTACGCTAAACATGATCTACTTGAAGTATGCTCGTATCTCCGAAACACATGTGCCTGATCGTTAGTGATTGTGTAGCCCTTCTGCCAACCTGTTTTGATTTCACCTGCGAGTTTTCCTCCGTTTTGAAGTTTTCAAAAATGTGTAAAATCCAACTTTGCCTAAAACCTTATCGAGGGAAGGATGGCTTTCCATAACTTCAACTTTGTTTTCATCGAAGAATTCTGATGCCGGAAAATTGTATATGACTTGGTCTGAAAAGTGATAGCCCGACATGAACAAAAATGCACAGACATAAAACTCTGATCAACATTCAAACACGCGTCATCAAGCGGGTAGTGATTTTGCACATCTACGAGTTTATGCGACGTTGCACCAGAAAATGAATCCTAATACGTTTAGCGAGAGTTGTGATCCTTTCCATGTATTGATCCGAAAGATGCGTCGTTTGAACAATTTTGATAAAGACGGTCGAGGGAAACGTTGTTTAAAAGTGCATGATGATTTCATTTATGAGTACAGTATGATGTTTCGTACACTCGACTGGGTGTTAGTGATGTGAACTATCTATTTTTTTCTACGAGCACGAAATAAATCCTCCGAGAGAATAATAATTCGTTTGCCCGTGTGCCCGGTAATACCGGTGTTATGGTTTCATATGCGTCGTAGTGTTCATGGTCATAAACTATTCAAAGATCGTGCATTCCTGGGCGAATCTATGCTTTCGGCGTGGCTTGAAATGCAATTTATTTGATTTTTTTACACTTCCCACCTGCATTGATGGAACTGAAGCTGCTTTAACTCGGGGTAGCCGACCTAAATTTTGTCCCGGGAGTACCTGCGCCTGGGTCGCGGAAGTCTTGCCGCGAATTCTTTTTCGCGACGACGACGAGTTTTGACGGCGATGAAGAAAAGAAGTTGAAACAAAACTGTTCTCGTAGTATATATGAACATTCCCGTCCGCCTTGAGAAACTTTCATTTTATGGGGAAAGAAAATACAGTGAAATGAATTGCTGGGAAAAACCGGGCCTGGTTCACTCTGTTTTTTGACGCGTGACGAAAAAAAAATCTATATATACACACAAGACTGATGAGCCAACAAACCGACAGCGCGCGGAATAATTCAAAAACTCTCCGTCCCGAAGGGGAGTCGAGTTGCAAGTGGAACCTATTCACCTAAAAATAAACAAAAGAAACAAAAGCACCATGCCCTCGATTAAACCACTCGCTTTCTTTGCCAGGTCGAACACTTTTTCTCTCCTGTTCCTCTTCCACCTATCGTGAACGTGGCGTCAAGGTTCCCACGTCGTGACGCGAAGGTATTCTATTCTTTTCAGTCTGGCCTACACTTTCCTCTTTGCACAGCTAATCTTCAAACGCCAGAAAATTGAGTTGATAGGGTTTTCAGGAACCATTTAAAGTTTTTTCCTTGAATGAATCTTGAGTTCTGTAGCATCGAGGGTGTTTATCGACTTCGCATCCGAAAGCGGCACATCGTGCTTCACAGAGTGTTCGAGTTATCTCCGAAGCAATGAAGGATAATCGACGTTTCATCTATGGAGAACCATAAGAAACAAGTGAATCAATTCTCAAGCCCCGATATATCTTTCAATTTTTGAAACTACCACTACCTTGATAAAAATAGTCAAATGAAACTTCGTTTCAAATTAAGACGATCGTTGTGTCTAAAATGAGTGACTCTTATTCAGCCCTAAAGTATTAATTTAAGAAAGCTAAAAAGTTCTGTCTGACTGACTGCTAGTGTTCCACATATAGACAAGTTAAACTAGGAAATAATCCAGTGAATCTTCGTAAGACGGCGCGTGTTACTTTTTTCTTCGGTTTCATTCATATTAGCTACATCCACCCCATTATTACAAAACCACTGAAAAATATTATAAACAGTATTTATGAAGTAATATTACAGTAATTCAATTACAGTATCTTTTCTCAATAATTGCAGGTCAACATTTTCCTGTGCATGAATTGTTTTTTCCCTCGCCTTATTTTATGTTTCATAGCTTCAACCGTTTAGGAGACATTTTTTCTTCGAAAATATTCGCAATTTCCATGCAGTGTAATCAGAATGTTTAATATTATTCTCGAACAAGAAAATG